CTGAGCTGTTCGACATAGCTGCGCTAGGCTGCGCGTGCGCGCTGCGCCGCTGGGTTCTGGGATGGGCTCGCTTCTGCCTCGGCGGCCATCCTCTCCTTTACAGCCCCAACTGGGATGGGAATACTAACTGCACGCATGCGGGACATTCTAACAATGTGGCGGCGACGTCACGCCGCACAGCACAGCGGCTGCGGGCGGTGGATACGGCACGGCACGCCGGCACGACGCGGGGGAGGCAACTTCCCAAGACTGTCACTGGTCCCCGCCCAGGCCGCCAGCCGCCATTGACCCCGAAACTAACCACCCGTATTTCCTGACTTTGAGGGTAGTTACAACCGGGCCGGGGCGTGGTGGTCGTGGGCCTCGGGTCGAGCTGGGCGCCGGGGCCTCTGAGGGACCGCAGCCGCAGCGCGCCGCTGGTGCGCACCGAGTGACTCTCGTCCCCGGCCGCGGCGCCACACGGCCAGGAACCGCTGACCGTCGCCCGGACACCACTAAATTATGGTATCTGTCTCATCTTCACATCTAAGTTATCGCACTATCGCTCTACGAATTCAATTGGAAACGCTGTAAGTGAATGTGCTGTGTGTGTGTGAATGCCTATTCCTACTTAGTGGAGTAAAGGTGTAAATTTGACTTAAAAATTCAAACACTTGTACCTCTAGGTGGAGGAATGGCGTTCACACACCTACAAGAGTGCGACATTCACACGCTTGGATTTCTAGAAAAGATGACGCTCCGGGATACTTGTCAAACAATAAAAATGCGCGTAAAACCCGGTAAAACCCATCCCTTGCTCATGCAACAGCGCCGATACAGAAAGACATTTATTTTACCTTTTGTTTTTGTCGGTTTCCTTTTTGCCCGCGCGGGGAATTGGCTCGAGCGGAGTGACTGACCGTTCGCAAAAACTATCGAATGTTTGCCCCGGTTTGGCACGGGCAAAATATATCGACCCGTTCGGCCCGCCAAAGCAATTCACACACTCGGACACCGCGACAAGACAAATGGAAGAGGGAAGGCGGTTACGGCTCTCGGTGCGTTGCCGTGCGAGCGAGACGACAGGGGCGAATGCGTGGAGAGAGAGAGAGAGAGAGAGAGAGAGAGAGAGAGAGAGAGAGAGAGCAAAGGAGAACTGGCTGGGAGAGGGATACGAGGGGGCGTATTGGATAGAAGCGTTTCCAGAAGACGTAAACTTTCTCGGTAAATTCTGCTTGGTGGACTGATCGTTTTCGGTTGCGTTACTCTCCTCTACCTACAAAGTGTTCAAAACCAAAGAAGTAAACAGACACGTCGCACACACATAGCAAAAGGACTTGATTTCTGAGCTGTTTTCAGAAAGCCGGCCAGCTTGGAATCAAAGACGAATTCGTTGGAAAACATGCTGGGCTGGGCACCTTGACAAACATAAAATGCTGCTTGTAAAACAAGCAAAAAGTACTGGTTTTCAAGCTGCAAAACAGGCTTTTTTCGATTTTAGTCCAACTGCTTGAAAAACGGTCTCCTCAGCTCGAAACCCATGCAAGCTCTCGTTTTTGCCGTGCACATACACACACGCGCAGGTGGGCCAATGAGTTCCACATGGAGTGGAGGCCAAGGTCTGTCGTGGCGTTATTGTGGTGTAACCGTTGGCAGAGTGCCTGGCGCCGCGCACCGTAGGCAACACCGGCCCAGGCCCTCTAACTCCTCCCCCCTCCCTCCCCCTAAAGTTTCTCTCCGGGCCCTGCGGGGTCGTCCGCTCCGCTTCAACCCAACCAGCCGACCCGAACCCAGCAGCTCGCTGGTCGGTCGGTCGGTCAGTCGGACGGGCGGACGGACGGGCGGACGGACGGACCTGCGGACGGGCCGTGATCTCAAACGGAGCTACCTCTCCACGAAGGTGAGGCTGAACGAGCGGGAACCGAGCCGCGCCGCCTTGCTCACCCCGGCGATACCCGACCGGAAGGAAGCATAAACGGCAAAAGGAAGGAGTGGAGAGGAGGAGGGCTGCACTCGCACTACGCAACGCACACGCAGGAAACATTTTCTTTGAGGAAAATAAAGACGGACGAAAAGTTCGCGCCAAAGACGAGAAACCAAAGTGAAATTTATTGTTCAGACGAAAAAATGTATTTAACAATAAAAATATTTTGTGATTTCCGAACACTTGCACGATACGAAGCTACTGTGAAATCACAACACTTCTTTGTGGTCGAAAATATTGCAGTTTGCTATCTCACTAGTAAATAGTTGTGAACCAATCGTAATAATTTCTGAAGCTATCAATTTTTGACAACGAAGAACAGTTGTGATTTTACAAAGAGTTCTGGCAACTTTTTTCACACCGAATTCTTCGTTAAGTTCTGACTTTTTAAAATTTAACAGTTCACAACGAACATTTCGTCAATTTGAACAAGTTTTAGTTTGTGTTGAAGAAAATGTTTCTTCGTTTCAACGAAAAGTTCGTCAAAGTCTTGGTCCCGCGTCCCTACAAAGAAACGACGGTTTCCTGGCTGAAGTCGAGTCGGGGTCGGGGTGCAGCTCACCACCAGCGCGCCCTCGCCACCCTCAAAGAGCAATTAGAGCGCCACCTTTGTGTGAGGAATGGTGCCGGAATGGTAATAACGAATAAATCTCTCGAGTGCCGGCTTGTTGTGACGTGAGGTGGCAGAAACAGCGGCGGCGGGGCAGGTCGGGGAGGCTGAAGCCGAGGCTGAAGTCGAGCCCCGAGGCTTGCAGCAACGGCGCCCAGCCCCGCCGGCTGAAATAACACTCGCGTTCCTGATTCCGCAAGTCAGCCCAGCCACGTGTGTGCAGCTTCATTCATCTTCTCGGAGCGGAAACACAAGCATCACGAAAGTGTAATAAACGAAATGGAAAGGGAAGGGAAAGGGACACACACACACACGGGCCGCCAAAAAGCGTCGCAGGAAATACCAAAATAAAATTTGGAAAAAGGTAACAAAACATAGCGTCCGACGCGAATGGTTAGGTGACCCACATCCGGCCGATTCGGCGCAGAGGCCCTGGCGAGGCGATTGACTGACAGAGCGGAAGACAAAGCACTTCAGCGCACACGTAACATG